ATCCTCCCCGCCCTACTCCCTCTCAGTAAGGGTGGCGCGCATGGGCCCGCGCTCCCCGCGTTCGGTCTCTGGGCTTCTTCTGGCAATCGCGTTGGGTATTTTAAGCGAGGCGCAATCCTGGCCCGTCGAGGCGCAACCCCGTCGATGCCATCATCGATTAGACATGAGTGGGGTAGGAGTTGTGATGGGGCGCGGCAGGAGTGGACTGGGGTTGTCCGCGAGCTGCGTCGACTGTACTTGGGCGCAACATATGGTTAGACAGGGGTCCGAGTACGGCAGAGTTGGAGTCGGCGTAAACGCGCCATATAGGCAACCGCCAATCCTTGCATAAAAGAGAGGAGGGGGCTTGCATGTACGATTAGGGTTGCATGTGCGTTTTTGCAGATAGATGGAAAAGCGCAGCAACGTTGCTGTCCAAATCTTGGATCGGTAAGATGGCCGCGCGGATCGCGCGGAACCGAGTATAGGGCGTGTATAACCCAGGCAGATCAATGTGCCTACTTGCGCACGCGTGCACGTCTATATACATCAACTCACGCGCACAAATCGGTGGGCCGAGTGCGTGCGTGGCAAAGCAGGTCCAGGAGCCCGCGGCGCGCCCCGGGCGTCGCTGGCGCCGTCGGGAAATCCAGAGTGCAGACTGGCACCGTCGCCGGCGCAGCAGTGGCACCGGATGCCCGGAGCGAGTGTCCGACATGCGAGACGCTATTCTCCAGCGCAGGATGTCGCGCGCTCACCGACCGTGAAAAATAGCCCACTTGGGGATTTCAAGCACGTCGCGCGCGCAACGTGCTCCAACAATGCATCCCGCATATTTCAAATACTCACATAATGCGCCCCGTACATTTCCAATCTTCGGAAAACAACCCTCAGTTTTCACGCGCTCGGAAGTATTCCAAACATGTTCCAAATTCACCCACAACTCTTCCAAATTTATTTCAGCGCCACTTGCGATATTCCAACATATTCCAAAGCTGCTACCCCAGTGCCATTTGCGAACTCTCAAAATCATCCAAGGCTGCCCCAGTGCCATCTGCGAAATTCCAGAGCATTTCAAGGATATGCCAATTCCATTCGCGAGCCCTTGAACTATCCCAAAGACACGCCAGTGCAATTCGCGGATGTTGAGAATACTCCAAAGAGTTTGTCCCCACATGCTCCAGGTATGCCCCCGCGGCGACCGCTGAGTTTTCAATGTGCCGCAAAAGACATTCACCAACCATTCCCGAGACATCAGAACACCCCAGGACGCAGCGCGGCACCACCTTCGACAGACAGCCCCGAGTCTCCCAGAAGATGCCTCCGCATGTTTTCGGGAAAGCATTGCCTTGAGGTGGCCCCCGTGGCCTTTCATCGAGAGCGCGAAAATCTCGCGGCAATGCCCCCCCCCTGCCCGCCTCGCCCGAAGTCGCACCGCTGCGGCATGCGATGCAGCGGGCTCACTAGCGCTTCAGATGCCCTGCGCCAGGGCAGCAAAACGTGCGAAGCGCGCTGCTGATGCGGCACCCTTGTGGGATGATCAGCGCGCCTCTATGTTTCCGAGCGCGTGTCGTTCCGCGCCACGGACGCGTCGCGGCTTCATTCTGCGTGCTTTATCCTGCTGGGGGACTGGCTCTCAACGCGCGCGCGCCTCAAAGGCGTGGTGCGCCCTGCGCGAATTCCCCAAAGTAAAGGGCCCAGACTTCGGCATCCATTTTGGGATCCAGTTTTCCCGCGCGCCCGCCTGCGTCTTCGTTGACAAGCGCACGCGAACTGGGACGGGTGGCGCAGGAGGGCGCGGGGGAGGGGGGCCGGTCGATCAGCCGATCGGAAGTTTGATCGATCGGCCGATCGGTAAAAGAACAAGTTTGTGGCGTTCCGCCAGCCCCCGCGGACCCTCATCTTTGATTTTGTTGCGCTTCTCGTTTGCCATCTTTACGCGTTGCGATGAGCTTTTGCCTTTGGATCGTCTGCGCGTTTGGATTGGCTGTTTTCTGGTGGGTCCTCTCGCGCTCCCTCAGGGCGCATGCTGCGTTCTTCCATTGTCCTCGAGGTGGGCCCAGCGGCAACGAACCGCGTGGGGGGGCCCGTTCGCTCTCGGGCGAACGCGAAGCTATTGAATGTGCGCCGACTTTCTCTTGTAGCGACATAAATGCGACCAGAGTTCGCACGGCGTTGGAAATCCCCCCCCCCCGTAATCGCAAGAACAAGGCAATCCACCAGCAGGCGCCAGGGCTTTTGCCGAAGTATTTTTAGAGCATTCCCCGCGAATGTTCAAAACGCGCTGGTATAGTCAACGAAATGCTTGTTTTGAATATGTTAAGGATTTCTTGCGCAAGTCGCCGGTAGGAGGACATGCCCGACATAATCCTGGATCGCCTAAGCCTGAGTTTTTTTTCTCGGGCAACCTAAATCAGCAGTGTCGCAGGCATAAATTATGCAGAGCTCCTGACCCACAAGCTACTTTCGTTGGATTGCAGGATGCTCGCTGGCCGCGATCTCGTTGTTGACGCGTTTCCTGGCACTCGTGCTTTCTGGCCTCGCTGCAACGGGTCTCAGGTGGTGATTGCGATTGTAGCGACTGAAACGTTGGCGCCCCATTTTGATTCGCACCCGTCTCAAATAGTAGAGGGCGGCCAGGCTGCAGTTCTACGTCTTCGCGGAAGTCTTGGCGGTCAGGACGTCTCGGCCGCTTCTCTTGGCGCCCGCTCTTTTGGTGTGCGCGCCGATTGTTTCGAGCAGATTGCTGTCGCAAGTTGACGGGTCGCCAGAAAGTCGCGTCTCTGCTCCCGGGTGACTTCAACTACGCAGACTGCAAGCACGATCGCTAGCAAAAACAGTCCTGGGAAGTGGTCGGGGCGTGCGAACCGCATTCCAATGGCCGCGTTCCAGGCTCACCTGCGCGGGCGCAAGTGCGTTCGACATGCGACAGCG